CCTTGGACCTGGACAAGTCTTCTGCTTTCTTCACTACTTACCAAGGCATATGCTTGAGGCAGTGAGACACTATCCTTGGATAAAATATTTTGCTTTGTAATGTCGTACTCTGGATTTAGCTCTGTCAAGAACTCAAACACCCTGTTTCTCTCAACCAGTTTTCTATAGGTCTCAGCATCCTTAGTGGTGTCCCAGGCTATAGCTTTATGAAATCTATTTCTTGCCATAAAGACTTCAGTGTTGAGAAGTATATAGCTAATGGTTTCTTCCCCTGTCTCAAAATTTTCACATAACTTCTCAATTTGTAAACCCTTACCACATTTAATTTTTGGGAATATATTTCAGCAACACTATCATAAATTTCCTTTGTTGAATTCATCCACAAATAGTGTTGACTAATCTGTGGTTGCATTGAGTTCACAAGCCATTCAATAACGGTATAATTTTCTTGCATCCACTTTTTATATGATGGATCATCTTCTGGAGAAGCCTTTTTGCTTCCGGAGATAAAACCCCATTTGCCTCTACTACAAATATGAATTTTTACTGATTGTGACCAAGCCAGATGATTAGTTCCATCCAGCTTGACTGTGGTCACAGCCAATAAAGAATCTATAGAGGCTCCCAGAACTTGTTCGAATTCAGCAACATGCTTGTTTTCAAAGTCTGAGGAGTTCATCTTCTTAAATACTTAAAAAATGACTTCAAACAACTTCGAATAACAACAAATGAAGACGGAACAAAAACTGTGTTGTGAGCAAACCTCTATGCAGCCGTACCAATAACTTGTGTCACACCCGGAAGCTGGGAGAAATAGAGAAAACTCAGTCGCTCCTTGTAGACTTCACAGAACACCAATCCACTTGATTCTTCTTCAAGAAGAAGAATGAAAAGGCCTTCAATCATGAGCACCCAGGTCAAACTTCCTATGGGGCCCGCAATCAGATTTCTCCAGAAAATTAGGGTTTTGGGCAACACACTTAAATTTGTTAAGAGGATGACAAAACCAATCCCCTTCTCTCTAGAAACCATTAACAACTGGGCTGAAATAGGTTTCTTTAACTATTCATACGATTCAATTCTCCATACACACTGTGTATGGGAAAAAAAGGTGAAAAAAAAGGGAAAAGCGAGCCTGCTCTGATACCAAGAAGAAAAACAACCTTTTGAGAAGAAATAATTGTTTAGAAAGTTGCAAAAATTCAAAAGAAAATAGTAGAAATCAGAGTTCAAGAGGAGAGAAGAAGAAGAAGGTGGCAGCAACTTGGGTTCAGAGAGAGAGACTTTTAAACATAATCTCTTCTCTTACTCCCTTAATTCTATTTCATTAAGTTAAACTTTAGTAATTTATAGATAAGTCCCTAGTTGGGCAGAAAATTAAAAAGACATAACATAAGAAAGAATAAARCCCAGATTAAGGCCCATTACRGCAAAGAACATAAAAGATAAAAAAGGATAAACAGCCTATAGGCCATTCGGCCCATCTTCTCTACAAGGGTTTAGAGAGAAGTCAATCGAATGTTTTCTCTCTTCCCTAATCCTTTTCATTAAAACATAATTTATAAAGTTTTGGTATTTACAGAGAGGCCCTTAATTGGGCGATTAACTTAATTAAGCATAACATAAAGAAGTATAAAAAAACCCATTAGTTAGAAGGCCCATTAACAAAATAAACAGAAACATAAACAAATAAAAGCATCCTATGGGCCATTCAGCCCATTCTCTCTACAAATTTATTGGTTCTTATCTAAGAGTTGGGGGGCTGCCAAGACTTTTCTTATCTTCTTTTTGTCCTTTTCTTGCTTGGATCAAACCTAGATTCCTTTTTTGGCCTCTCTCTCTCTCTCTCTCTCTTCATTGAATTCCTAGACAAGGCTCCTTAAATCACTCTCTCTTGTCTCTCCCTTGTCTCTCCCCCATTTATGGAGGTTTAAAGTTTAAAATTCAAAATTTGAATTTGAGAGAGAACTAGAGAGTGGGCGGCTAGGTTTTTTTTTTAGTTTAGGGTTTTGGGGTGCTAAGTTACGAAAAGGATGATACAAGGGTGGAGAGAAAGTGTGGGTTTAGATCTAGGGCCAATGTTGGATCTAGGGTTGATGGGGGCTTTGGGTGATTTTCATGAATGTGCAGGGATCTAAATGAAAATGTGTAGGGGAGTTCTTTTGCAATAAAAGGGCTAGTCTAAGAGGTGTAATGTGCAAGATTCAAGGGCTAGGATTAAAGCTCAAAATGTTAGGGTTTGTCTCAACTAACAGATCATATGAATTAGAATCTTCATATATTGAGGGATAAAATGGGGAATTTTGTAACAAATTTTCCATGGGGGTTATAGGGTGTCCAAAAAGGCCATTGATGGGCTTTGATGGCCTTAGGGGGTGTTCTAGAGTGAGAAATCATGGTTTGGGTTATATCAAGCAACGGGGATCATCATATTGGAATATTTCTTAATGAAGAGGTAAAATGGTCATTTTGGGTCTTGGAAATGGAGCATGGTTGATCAGGACATCTAGGAAGGTGACAGTGTGGTCTAGGTGTATCAGATACCACAATGCAAATCTTAAATTTGGGTAATTACAAGCAATGAGAGCCTTCGATTTGGAAAGTTTTGGATGAGGGGTATGGTCATTTTAGGGTCTAAAATTTGACAGATTATCGATCATGGGATTTTGATGGGATTTGGAGGTGTCGGATTATGCATGATGACGAAAATCTTAAATTTGGAGAGTATTGGGCGACGAAGGTGGTCTATTTGGAATTTTAACGGAATGGTAAAATGGCCATTTTAAGGTCTAGAATTTGATGGATCATCGAAGGGGAGGTTTGAAGGTGTCAGATGATGTATAAGGATGGGTATCCTGAATTTGGAGAATATCGGGTGACAAGGATAGTCTATTTGGAATCTTTTTAAGCGAAGGGTAAAATGATCATTTTAAGATTTGGGATTTTATGGGGTTTGGAGGTGATGATGGATATCTTGAATTTGGAGAGTATCGGGCGACGACAATGGTCCATTTGGAATCTTTTTAAGTAAAAGGTAAAATGGTCATTTTAGAGTGAAATTTGATGGATTGTTAACAAGGAAGTTGATTAATGTTTATAATAAACCTTAATATATGACAGTAAATTAGTAAATTATTTATATATTAATAAATCAAGTGCTTTTAACTAAGAGGTGGAAAGAGATCAACTTTTATGGGCTTTATTGTACATTTGTGTACAATATGAGGAGACAGCTAAGAGGGGAGAGCTAAGGGAGTTTATCTCTCCTTGTTCTCTTGTATCTTTTTAATTTTATTCTAAATTTCTAATGAAATGCTGCAGTTATTGATAAAAAAAAGTATCTTATATATTATTTGCCAAATCTATCTTTTTAGATAAAATATAATAAAAATTACAAAAAAAACTGAAAAAGCTTTATGTATTATTAACAAAATAATTAGTTTTTTTTTAGTTAAGAACTAGAACTGAACCAATTATTAATTGAGACAAATATCACAGAACGGTCCAAAACCAGTCAGTTTGATTCGGCCAGTCAAGTAAACCGACCCATTGACAGCTTACAAGTGAAAAGAAGCCACAGCGTTCGGCACCCGATTTCTATCTGATATGCAAATTCAGGGAGTCCTTGCTCAATTTTTTATACATCTCCTGGGTTTGAGTTTGACAAGGCACAAACTTGTAATTCTGTTGATATCTCCTAATAATATACACAAACTTGTAATTCGTTCAAAAAATGTTCACTGTCCAATAGACCCAAGAAATAAGCTATGTCTAGTGTGATATAAAATAAGCAAGAAACAGAGTTGAGAGGGACAGTTGACGAATTTGTTAAATTAGTAATGTACTGGTGTTTCTGAATTCGGATTTTGTCTTCACAAAACCTTCCTCACAGGGTATTGCAGGCGTGCTGTACTTGTATGTTTTTATTCATAGGAGATACTCCCAATGCACAGCTGCAAGGGGCTGTGGGAACAGTTGTCAGGACGAAATCCGAATTTCGTGCTTCTCTTATTTCTCTTCAAACCGAAGACAACCTAAATCATGTGACGCAGTTAGAGGGGGCTCGACTACTAATGGATGAATCATGCGAAAGCGATCATGAATTTGTAGAACATTATAACACCATTCTTTCTTCTTTCTTCTTTTTTTCTTTTATTTTATTATGTAGCGAGTATTATAGCACCAATATTTATCATGTGAAATTGGCTATTATGGATGAATCATGTGAAAAGTTAATGATATTAATTTCTTAAAATTATTCATGAATCATGGAAACAAGCTTGAAGAAGGCAAAATGAGAGCATGAATGACCTGGTTCATGACTTGTTTGATCTAAGTTACTAGTTATTACAGCTTTTGTAAAGATAGTCTTATTGGCTACTTAATATGCAAAGTTGGTCAGGAATTTCCATGATATTTATGAAATTTTGTAATCAAAGTGGTATCTATCTCCATCTGTAAGGCACAAAACAAAGTGTTGATCATAGAAGGGTCAACAAACATAACTTAAATTTTACAATTTAGAAAAAAAAATTCAGCTCCTTTTGCAGAGAAAGGAAGGGACCCCAGATGGAAGATGAAATTGGACAAGGCAGAGGCAAAAGGAGAACCAAAAAATAAATAAATAATTTTTATGGTAGAAAAAATAACAAGTGACTTTGACTTTCACTTGGTCCTTCCAAAACTTACTAACGATCAACAACAAATATTTTCTCCCCGCTAATGAAGCTTGAACCTAACCTGTAATGACTAATATCAATTTCAGACTCTGTCCCCATTCAAAACTGAATAACAAACCATTCTTTTCATTTCCAAGGATGGGGATTGCACGAACCTGTAACGAGACAGGTGACCTCTTGATGCCTTAATGTGAGAGTATGGTCGTTTGGCCCCCTACTGCAGGCATTTGAGTCTAGCAAATGTCAAATAGCCAGTGTGACCTCTCGTCTCAGAGCACGGCCTAGCCATGATTACAGGAGCACTGAAGCTTTCACTACCAATGCTCCCATCACTTGAACATTGCCTCCTCTTGCAAGGAAGAGGCCCGAGAGAATCACTTTCATCACCTGCCCCATATTCCATCCTTCCTTCTTTGACTTCATATGTGCGAAGGAGGACCTCAAACGTCCTTATATCTATACATAAGAACAAAGGAGGAAATAAGAAAAAAGAAAAGTTCAATTATGAAATATTAATTATTTTACTGGTACAAGAATCAAACTAATTAGAAAACTAACAAGAGCAAGAGGAAAACAGAAGCTATTGTGTAAAATAGAGTAATCTATGACAAATCAAAGATCCAGCCCTCCTCCCAAACAGAAAAGAAAAGAATAAAAGAATTCATTACTAATCAGATGGTCAACAATTACAACAAGCATAGTAAATTTGCATAAGCTACTGTCAACTTGACTATTTACATCCATTTAACATTTCTTACCATGAAAAATAGCCAGGTTATCCATCAATTCAATAAAAATAAACAAATAATTAAATGAATCAGAACACTTAATATATAAGAAATGCAAATTGTGGCAACCAGGATAACATGACACCCAAGCTTACCTGTAAAACTTGCCTTCAGAGTCTCACATGATCTCTGGACTTGCTCAATGCAAGGGGAGAAAGAACATAAAATACCATCCTGCTTCAACATTTTCCCAGCAGAAGGAATGGCCAACCAAGGTTGGGGTAAATCAAGGAAGACCGAATCTGCTAAACCACGAAAATCATCAGGAAATCCCTCACCTTGAATATCTCTAACTTCAACAGTAATCAAGCTGCTCAGACCAGTTCTCTCAAAATCCTCCCTGTTGAAAGGAAAGATCAATCAAAATCGTGTAAAGAAATTTTGTCTCATTTGTAAGTTCAAAAAATAAAATTAGGATAGTCATATATATCCTCTCTTGATTGTCTTCTATTCCTTTCCCCCAACTTGTCTTCTTTTCACTTACCATTCTATCTTTCCAGTTAACTTCTACTATCTGTTGTTATTGACTCTATTTTTGTTGCTTGAGGAGAAAGGAATGGATATGTTCCTAACCTTTGGCATTTGTTTTTTTGCAAAAATTTGCCTCTCAGACTCAAAACTGTATTCTCACACTTGCCAGTCTGAGATTTTACCATAATTTAAAATAAGCCCCAACATAATTTAAAATCTTCCATGAAAATATTCCAATAAGGCAGTTTTTCAGGTTAAATGTGTTGTCTTTCATATTTACATGGCCAGTTTAAATCATAAGCTTACATCAGATCGCACATACTCATGCTGGGTGCAAACCTCTGTTGGTAATTGTCAAGGGGATGCTGACAAACACGAGGATAATTAGGGGCATTATTTTACTGCTAATTGTTAAATTTTGTTAGTTGTGATAAAAAGAATGCTTTGCATGCAGCAAATTGCCTGCCATCCCTATCTAGGCTAGCTACTGCTACCTAATCCTTTTTTTTCAGAAAAGCATTCTCATTTTACAAGAAATCGACAGGGAGGAATAGTGCTGCTAATCATTCCATCTTTGGATTAAATTAATCTGGGGTTCCAAAGAATGATATCCCTAAAATAGTAATGAGATAAGATGGTCTCGTAGAGGGATAAACCAGACAGTGTCACAGTGAAGGCAACTTTCATTAAGACTGATGCTTTCTGTGATACAGCTTGCAGAATGATACATTTAAGATTTCATAGAAAAACAAAAGGAACTTTTTTAACATTGCTCAGACACCCAATAGCAACAATGCTGAAATATAACAAAGATCCAATCTGAAATACAAACATTGAAGATTTTGTAAAAATAAAATGGAGTTACATATCCCATTTAATTGGTAATTCTTGACTGAATTTCAGACAGCAATCTCTTCTTTTCTTTTTTATAAAAGGTAAGGTATTGTATTAAAACAAAAGGGGAATAAATACAATGCTTAACCCATGTACACTAAGGAACTGTACATGGAGTTATACAAAAGCTACAGCATCTCTGTATCAACATAAAGACAGTTCTTCTGGGGGTGTGGGGTGGGAGATTCACATGCACCATAAAAAATCAAAACAAAGTACTGCTGGGGTGTGGGATAGGAGTTTCATATGCGCCATACGACATAAAAACAGAATATCCTTGTCAATCAAACCAAAAAAAAAAAAAAAACTGAGTGTTCCTTTCAAGCCAAAACACACCAAAACAAGACCATAGATATTAAGCCCCACACAACATTCCCTTTCTTGATCAGTCCTCTAAAGCTGCAAGCTTAGCAGAAAACTGTTGATGGATTCCAAAAAGCAGCCCTCCCATCCAAACATAGATGGAAAATACAGTTCATACTTCAGTCTTCAAAACAAAGGGGCAAAGGGGGGCAATTGGGGCTATCCAGGTTCAGCCCTCTACTAAGAAGTTTTATCATAGGTGAGGCACTTTTCCAGAGCTGCAGTCCAAGCCAAAAACTTCACTTTGGATGGAGAAGCAGATTGCCAAATACACGCATAGGGGAAGTCTGAACTTTGCAGCTGCCCAAATGCAAGAAAGGATTTCACAGGAAAAAGCACCTTTTCTGTCCCACTTTCCTGCAATCTGCCTGCCCCACCAGAGGTGTAATGAACTGAATTCTGTGCAGAAACTCCACCTTCAGTTCCACTTACCAATGATTCATGTTTCTTCTACATTGGGGTTCCAACTGATGCTGCCATGATATTCCTCATTCTGAGCCACCAAAAATAAAGATGGAATGCTTTCCATACCATTAAGCTTTTTGAGGTGGACCTATGACTTTTCATATCACTGAATGCCTCTAAACAATTTTCTTTAGCTCATTTTTTGGTACTTGGTAGTCAAGTTTCTAGAAGTAAGAAAAAGTCTTAGACTCTTAGTCTATAGTTAGATCAGCCTCCTAGCTTACAAATGTACAATGGGTGAACCAAAGCAATGGTAGTTGGATCTATTGTTTTTGAATGGAGTTGAGACCTGAGTGCTACCAGTGCTGCCACAGAAGAATGAAAGTTGATGTCTTTCTAATAGCCTAGAATAATTACTGGAGGAGCTCCAGAAGCTTTTATTGTTTCTGTTTCTTTTAATTAATTTTTAATTCTTTACTAAATTGTTCTTGAATTGATTTATTATTTACTATGTTAAAGGACAGATACCCTATTTGATAATGCAATTCTGAGTAATCTTTGGTTGATCAAACAGATTTCTATTTATTTCCAACTTCTACTGGAAGTTTGTCAGTACAGAAAACAAGTGAGAGATAAAAGTCCATGTGGTTGTTTTCTCTCAAAATTGATATGTTCTAGAAATTCATGTCTTTGAACCGCCAATACTATCTTCTAGAAGCACTACAGTTTTCTGTTATACCTTTTTGTCTTTTCTGTAGAGAACGAATGCATTTTTCCTTTCTATTGCTGGTCTTATTTTCTACAACTAGCTAGCAAATGACTGCCGACTAAAGTTAAATTTCTTGTACTAAGTATTTATTTTGCATGCATAGTTGCTATCATTGTTTTCTACATTTACATGTTGATTAAGCATTTTTTAACAAAATGTGATTATTTTTTCAGGAGAAAGTTTATAAAAGAGTAAATTTGAATATATCTTTAACTTTGATCGAAGATTACTGGAAACCATGGATGAACTTCTCTGTTATTGGAGTCTCCATTATTGGAGCCATGACTTGAAAGTGATAATTGTATAAATGTTTTGTAATGAACTTCTCTTAGACAAATATATATATATATATGCTATTAGGTCAAATATGTAATTAGTTTTAATATTTGACACTCTTTTTTATTAATAGTACTAGACATTTAATCCAATGGAGTAGAATGGAATCAATATTCAATGATACAAGTCAATTTACCATTATATAATAAGTAATGGGTTTTATTGTTACTTCTTTTTGTATATATTTGGTTGTGGTAGTTTCTCAAAGAAATACAGCCACATCAGCACCATATAGTTGTTTTAATTTTAACCAAACTAACTTCTTGTTTGGATGAACTGTTTTAGTAAACTGGTTGTACTTTCCTTGCCCTGGGCTATTGTGAAAGTAACTTTTAGATGAAGTACCAAAATGATGCTTCTTGCTTTGAAGAAACAGTTTCACCTCTTGGTCCTATTTGGCACATAATGGCACCTAGCTGTCTTAAACAACAATAAAAATATGCATTGGGCTCTGTGCATAAAACTCCACCTACTTCTATGATTTCCAAGGCAAAATTCAGGTACAAACGTTGCCTGAGAAGCAGCCACAGTACAAAACATACCCTTTACCATTCTTTTGGTATTTATGAATGAATATATTCAAACATTTAGCAGCAACTACATTTTGCAAATTTAGCTGCACTTATAATTATTGCCACTAAAGAAGTTGAACTTTGACGTGGCATTGAAAAGTGACACCATATGGAAAAATAACTGTTGCTATATCATTAGGAGTGACTTTTGTGATAATCCTTGGTGGCACTTTGAATTGCCACTATAGTGGTTGCTTTGTTGTGACATTCAAAACTGCCGCTAAAAGTTAACAATGAGGTTCACTATTTGAATTAATTATGGCATTCAGAAGCACCACAGGAGAGGAATAATGGCACCTAGCTGTCTTAAATAATAATAAAAATATGCATTGGGCTCTGTGCATAAAACTCCATCTACTTGTATGATTTCCAAGGCAAAATTCAGGTACAAACGTTGCCTGAGAAGCAGCCACGGTACAAAACATACCCTTTACCATTCTTTTGGTATTTATGAGTGAATATATTCAAACATTTAGCAGCAACTACATTTTGCAAATTTAGCTGCACTTATAATTGCCACTAAAGAAGTTGAACTTTGACGTGGCATTGAAAAGTGACACCATATGGAAAAAAAAACTGTTGCTATATCATTAGGAGTGACTTTTGTGATAATCCTTGGTGGCACTTTGAATTGCCACTATAGTGGTTGCTTTGTTGTGACACTCAAAACTGCCGCTAAAAGTTAACAATGAGGTTCACTATTTGAATTAATTATGGCATTCAGAAGCACCACAGGAGAGCAATAAAAAGTCATTTTTTTTAAAATGCCATTAAATAAATGCCAGAATGGTGTTTTCACAAGTGTCACTAAAAGTCATACTGTCATAGAAATGCCACTAATACTTTTACCGACCTGACAATTAGCGATGTATTTCGCAAATGCCGTTCTAGATTGTAGTGGTGCTTTTCTTCACTTATGGTGGCATTTTGGAATGCCACCTTAGGTCAACTTTGTTCCAAGCAAGGAGAAGAGTGAACTAAGCACCTTTCTCAGTACTTATCATCTTGGGAATGCTTGAGGTTGAAGGCGCTTTGATTTCTTTCAGTCCACATGTTTCAAATCACTTCTGCTAGTATAGAATGCCACAATTTCCTGCCTTATTAGATACTCTTTGTCCAAACCAACATCTAATGAGCCTCCAAAAGAATCCAACACCATATTTCTCTTGCAATAGAACAACAAAGAAAAAGATGATCATTCATCTGCATATTGATGCATGCATCCAGTCTCCCCAACTAGCATAGCTCTTCTAATTAAAGACGTGTACTGTACCCATAGTCTCAACCAGGTGCAGTGTGTTCCGGACTACATGGCTCCACAATGGTGTATTTGAAATTGTGCATTTTGGAACTCAAATACCATTTTTGCATGTGTGGTCTGTACAAAAATGGAATTTGAAATGTACTACTTCACAGATAAAATGAGGATGGACCTTGGCATAACAGTTAGGTTCCTCCATTGCGACCTGGGTGACCAGGATTCAAATGAAACACTCTCTGTATGTTCAGGGATAAGGCTACATACATCTG